GAAGTCAACCCTGTACCAATCGTTCCAGGAGTCAAACCTGTCCCACTCCCAGAAGTACAAACCCCAGAATTGGAAGTCAACCCTGTACCAATCGTCCCAGGAATCAAACCCGTACCAATCCCAGAAGCCGATAAGCCATCCATTGGAAATTTGCCAACAAAAGACGAATGTAGCTACTTGGCCGACCTTCTTGGAAAACTTATCATCTTTTAAAAAGTGTTAAAATAAGAAAATGTTTATGTACAAAATAACTAGTACAAATATATAGATAACTGCATCAATCTAAATATTTCTTTATTCATCATATTCAACAACCCGAAACAATTATCACATAACATAAAAAAATATTTACTCTAATAGTTAGTAATGGCAAAATATCCGATCATCACTTTTTTTAATTAGATACCTCACTTGAACTTTGATCTAAATCGAATTTAAAATTCCTTTACGGTTTCGAGACATTTGATGGCCTTAAGCGGGTTAATCCCAAGAAATAAGCGACATTAAATTTTTATTACACTCGTAAACACAAACATAAACGCTACAATCACCATAACAAAAATATTTATCACGAAATCTCATAATCCTCATCCTCGCATATAGCTCCTATCGAATAAAACCCAATGCATGTTCCGTTCCATAACATCCCCTGGACCAATTTTCCGTACTCCGGGGCGTAAATGCGGCCTTTAAGACTACTAGAAGTGTTTTAAATTGTTCCAGTGTATAAAATAATCCTGTCGGAAGTCCAAGAACGGCAGTATTTCACGATACGAAAGATCACGGCAGTTACCACCCCATTTAACTAATACGAACGGCGATAGAGGTCGCCAACGACTGGAGTAGGAGGTAGACGCAAAGACAAGCCGAGATAAGGACGAATCTCGCAAGAGACAATTTGAATTTTATTCGCCGCATAAAACGGGACGGGCGTCTAAACGCGTTTTGACACTTTTCCACAATGTAAACGAAAATAAATCTCGATCTAGACGGGCGCCGGAAAATCGAAAATGGAAAGCGGTGGGCGAAAAGTCTACAGAAGAGAGGAAAAACGAGTAATTCCAGACTAATGAAGTAATTACACCGATGTTTCCGGACAAAAATCGTTTATATTCCGCGTGATAAAATGAGGGGAGCTTTAAGGAGATTAGCAGAGATGACAATCAGTTTCTCGAATTCGTCGATAAGTTTTACAGCTTTACAACACACCATTTCAAATATTAGGCTCTAATAACACTACCCAACAAATTTTATTTAATTTTTATGTGATTGATCTATTGACACGTGTATCAGGGTACATTAACATCCCTAATTACGAATTTGATAAGAAAAATTCTCCATCACGTACAGATTTTAAGTTACAGGAAAATAGTTTTCGCAAATTGTATCATAAAAATTGTTCATTTCAAATAGAAATTAATTAATTAGACGACGAAAGAAATTAATTTATTCACTAAACAAGAACAATGTTGAAAGATGTATAAGATTCAAAAACATAAATCTGTTGTAGATGAGTTTTTTGCAAAAGCTGACTTTCTTTTGTAGGGTGTTTTAACTTCTCTTATCAGGAACCAGCAGTAATCCCCCATCATAACTGGACCCCATCTCCCTTGGTACTTCTTTTTCATCGTCAATATATCCTGGTGGAACCTTTCCCCTTGCTCGTCACTAATGGCACCCAAATTTGGGGAAATTTTTTTTTAAATAAAAATGGAGAAAATGAATTTTAAGTGTTTCGTTTTTCGGCGATTTTGTCGAACATACTTACATATGATATCTCAAAATGCCTAACTTTAAAATCTGACGTGCTATGGAATTTTCTTTATCATTTTTGAGTTTAGCACATAGAATAGAATTGAACAAAAAATAACCCCAAAGGGGTCAAACAAAGGATGAAAATTTGTATAAATATTTATAAATTCGTCATTTTTGAAGTTATATTTATGAAAATTGGGATTTGGGCTTTCGGTTAAAAATGAAGAAACACGTGTTTTAGGATTTTTGAAAATTCCACCCTCTATGGGGTTAAACAGGGATGACAATTTGTATTAAAATATGTCATTTATAAAGTTAAATCCTTAAAAATTTGTACTTAGGCTTTCGATTAAAAATCAAGTAATACGTGTTTCAGGATTTTTAGAAATTTCACCCTCAAGGGGGTTGAACAAGGGTAAAACTTCGTAAAATATTCGTGTTTTTTTTTTAAGTTAAATCTATGAAAATTGGTATTTGGGTGTTTAGTTAAAAACAAAATAGCACGTGTTTCAAGATTTTGGAGAATTCTATCCCTAAGGGATCAAACAAGAAATGAAAATTTGTATAAATATTTATAAATTCGTTATTTTTGAAGTTATATTTATGAAAATTGGGATTTTGGCTTTGGGTTAAAAATGAAGAAACACGTGTTTTAGGACTTTTAAAAATTCCACCCTCTAGGGGGTTAAACAGGGATGACAATTTGTATTAAAATATGTCATTTATAAAGTTAAATCCTTGAAAATTTGTATTTAGACTTTCGATTAAAAATCAAGTAATACGTGTTTCAGGATTTTTGGAAATTTCACCCTCAAGGGGGTTGAACAAGGGTAAAACTTCGTAAAATATCCGTGTTTTTTTAAAGTTAAATCTATGAAAATTGGTATTTGGGTGTTCAGTTAAAAACAAAATATGTGTTACAGTTAAACATGGAATGAAAATTTGTATCAAAATTTGTCATTGTTAAGTAATATCCATGAAAAAAGACTTAAAATTTTACGGCCACAGCAATCGCCAGATCTAAATCCACTCGATTTTCTTGAATAAAATGTTTTTATTGAATGTGTGTAACGCCAGTGAGTCTAGTCGTGTAGCGTTTTCCTGCATTTAGTCGTCCGGCCAGTCCATTTGGAAACAAACATGCAATTAACAGGAGTGGAAATAGCGTTCGCCGTCGACAATAATCTCGGAACAAAGCTAAGAACATCCTAAAGATGTTAGAGAAACGGAAGTCGAGCCGTAATGGAGCAGGAGGAGCGGCATGTGCGCGGGATAAGCGGCAGATTCCATTTAGCCGTCCGAAACTCTTTTATTTAGGTCGTTAAACAGATAGTTGATCCAGTCTAGCTATCTCTTGTAAATCTCCTTTCATCCGTTCGCTGCCTCGACCGCAATCCTTAATGGGAGAACCCCTAAATCCCTATATTGTTTAACATTATTTACAATCGAAGAATAAATCACCGAGATTCGACTTCGGACGTACTTAATCCGAGATATACGTTCAGAAGATACGCCTCCGACAAGAATTTTCTTGCTATTTTAAGAAATCTTCATCCGATGGAAATTTTCTCATTTCCAGTAAGAGCGAATTAAAAAAAAGTAGCCCCAAAGGCGTAAGCCTGGAGGTGGTAGCCGGCTGTTTAAGCCCATAATAAACAGTATCACATCGTAATACGCAAATACGGCGTGAAGAGCGTAACACAATAAAGATTAAACATCGTGTGTTTGACGAGTGGTTTGCCCATACAACAAGCTACTCGAATTTGAAGTGGTTATGTATACAAACACGCTTCGTTCCTCTCGCCCATATGCTCATCCCCATATCCCATTGTGACTGTTGAATAAAGGACGTAGGCACGAGAGAGTTTTTTTTACTCATGACTCTTGTTAGACAAGGATGTATTAATATCTATTTTCATTAAACAAACAAAGAGAGATAATAACAGACCAATCACACATTTAAATTTTTGCTAAAAACATGAAAAATCTCTTATTTCGCACTGGTGGCAATGATCCAGTTCGCAGGTTATAACATTACTTAACGGTGGCCGGACGAACCGGAAGCTCCGACGTCGGCCCGGAGAGAGATGGCCGTTTCCTTCCGGTGGCCATTCGGGCACTTGATGCCATGGGCGGGACCAGCACTCACTCAGGTTAACTTTCCTTTAATCGACCGAAAATAAAAAAAAGACAAAACGAGAAAAGAAAAAAGGGGTTGAAAATCCGCAGCGTTTCACTTATCATGAATTAATAATGGGCGCGTTTTGAATTTATGGGTGCCATTGTTCAACGCTGTGTCATCGGGTAATGATGATATAACAGCGCAATTACATTCGCACAATGATAAACTGTTTGGAAATGGTTAGCTCATTAGGCGGAGTGTGTGCGTGTGTTTGTGTTTATAAGCGATGGGGTGAGGAGATACGAGGGTTGCTTGCACTCCCGAACGGGTGCTCTGACGTCTCGGTTTGAACAAAGCGATCAAAAATGCCGAATTAAAAAAACATTTTATTAGTAATATGAAAGTTCACTGAGTGTTTTTTCGCGGTGCAACGAATAGTTTTTAATAATAGCTGTTTTAGGGACTCATTTGAAAGCCTAAAATGAGTCTTTTCCGGACTCATTAAAATAGTAGTAAAAAATAAAATTGGTTTCTATAGAAGCGAAATTTTTTTAATTAATAAGAGGTGTGAATTCGTGTTTTGGGAGCTTTAACAAAAAAATATTGTTTGTAATACGTACCTAGCACGTTTTTGCGGACTTATCTGCTATTAAACAGCAACGATTCGTCCGCAACAACTGTGTTTTAAGTACTTGTAACAAAAATAACTATCTTAATTAATAAAACTCACATTTTTGTTATTTCATAGTCATAACATTTGAGACTAAATATATTATGGTTGTTAATTAAAATACAATTTGTTTCAGTCACTCTAGACGTGTCACGACGTCAATTTAATTTCTTAATGGGAACATCCTTCACCATCTGAACAGAATATTCGATTTATTTTCCTCACAATTTGTCTCAAATTATGCGTTACGCTTTTCACGCAAACTGAGTCCCTCATTTTCAAATTATTAATCCATTTCAGGTAACATTATATAACAATTTACTGCCAGGTTATATACAATGTTATCATTCTTAATTATTATTTAAATCAAATAAAATTAAATTATTCAATTTTTACAAAAACGCTACAAATAAATAAAATAAAAAAATGTTTTATCTGCAAACGTCACTAAAGCGAACACTTTTATTACTAAATGTTACAAGTAAAAGTTTTACTTTCCAGGCATGGAGTGAAAATTCTGTTTTTCCGCTTAAGGGTTTTTACTTTTACTATGACATTATTGACATTCTTTGCCTCTTTCACTGCTTCAGCAATTTCTGCAAAGATACATTCTAGATTATCAACCATTCAATATTTTGCCCTACTAACTGCACTAGTCATCCACTAGTTTAATTAATAAACACAACAACACAAATTCCGATACTGACGCGTGATATTTGTTTATAAACGTTGTTATGAATTCATTAATTTCCAGGCGTCCTGATTATTTTGTTCATTTACTTGCTTATTACAATATTGCTCTTTACTCTCGATCTAATTACGTTTGCAGTTAAAATAATATACAGGTCTCCCAATGAAAACGAGCCACCCCGAATATCTCAGAAACTAAAAAGTCTGTAAAAACGCCGAAACAGGTCAATTTTGTTTCCGAAGAAGACATTTTCTGACGTAATTTTTAAAGCATTTTTTCCATATTTTTTAGCAATCACAGTCGTAATAGTGTACTACAATTTTTATGAAACAAAAAAAATTTTTTGCTACTAAAAAAGAAATTAAAATAACTCAACTTGCCCAAATATGATTTCTGAGGTTGGCTCTTCAAAATCTATTACATGTTTTAAAACAAATGAGTTAAAATTAACAAAAACAGCCCCAGAAAAAAGTGATATCATATTAAAAAAATTAAATAAAAAGATAAAAATTTAGCATCAAATTTGTTTGGAGAAGATACCACCGAATTTCATTCACCGGCTACTAACAATGTCAACTTTGGAATAACTACAACTCAAAAGATAGAAACTTTGTTTATAATGCATTTTCAAACGCTAAAATGCAGGTTGCACCTTTTATACCTCAGAAACCATAAAATTTCGGAAAAGGCAAGTTGAGTTATATTGATTTCTTTAAAAATGCACTATTCCCTGTTAAAATTTCAGGCCAACTTTTAAAACCACCCCGTAGACAAATTACTTTGTGTTTTCTTACCAAGAAAAAAAGTTCATTTTTTTTAAATCACGTGAAAATGTTTGTGGTTTTGCTCAGTTGAAGTTTTTGATATTTCCTTCAATGAGCTTCTGATTTAAATAAAAATGCAAATAATTGTTGGTTAATAACTGCGGCAGCATTTTGGTCAATTATCGCGTGCAAATAAAGAGAGTTTCGTATTTAGTTTGATTAAAGTTCGTTTAATTAAAAACAATTTCTCCATTTTCCGCACAAACCCCGTCTCACAGACAATTTATTCCAAGTTAAAACCTAATCTAACCGGACTAGGATTCATCCATCCATCCCAGCGCCCCCACCCGAATGATAAATCTCGTCAGAAGGCCACCGCGTCCACGTTTTTGTCTGCCGCCGCCGTTGGCATAATGGTCCGTCCATTTAAATATGAAAAGAATATGAAAAGAGGCACTCGCCCCCGATACGGTCTTAATTATGCCGGTAATGGACCGCAATCCGCCACACTTAATGGAAATAATGGAGATCCGGAATGATGATCATAACAGATTTACCCCGTCGAATAGATTTATAATGTTTTTATTTTTTCGTGTCTGGACGGGAGGGCTAACTTCTTACGAGTTATTTCATTTCCGCCCAGTCGCAACTTCACAACATCTACCCAAAAAATCCATTAAGCGCGGAAGCAATTTAGAGGGAGTTAACACATCGACGAGGAGAAGAATTGACCACTTACCGGCATTTCCACGCCGCTCACGGACTTCGCCTTCAGAGTCTGGAGGTGGTTGGGCATTGGGGCGGCGTTGGAGGAGCGCTGGGGTTGATCTTGAATGGATGATGCAAAACGACGCATTTTTGCTGTTTCGATTTCTTTAGCGATGAGTTGTTTGTTGAAGTAGGAAAGAGATGTTTTGGGGCCGAAAGAGACCAGCTCGTCGATGTTAGGGTCTACAACAATTTAACACATGTCCTTTGTTTTTGAAAAAAAAAGTAAAACTGTCAATTTTTTTATTTTTGTAGAAAAAATGTAAAATATACCAAACGCTAAATATTTGATATGTATTTTCCTTAAAAAGAACAAGTAAAACAGTTTTTCAAAGCACTGTTATTTAAATATTATAAATCAGAATTTCATTAAATTACGTGTTGTACACAATTTTTTTAAACTTTCGTAATAATATCTACCAATAATAAATTAATAAAACCTACCCAATTTGTAGTCATATTTGCCATCGGCAGTCCTCTCTTGTACATAACCCAAATTATAATCAACCATAATGCTGACCACCCTTTCCAAAGCCTTTTTTTCTTCTTCGGTATACAAATGCAAGCCGATTGGTCTAAACGACGGCATAATAATCGTCGTTAGTAAGGGTAAAATATCAAGGATTAGAGAAATTGGTTGGACGTAGGATCGTATGGCCGGTTGCATTCCACGTATCAATTCATTGATGATCGCTTTCTGTCTGTTCTGTTTGGTTTTGGCCTGAAAATACAAGAAGGAGAAAAATTGAAAGCAGTCCGCCAAGGACTTGACACCCCGTTTGAGTCGAGCGTCACTCTCCGACGTACAATTTTCCAAGTAGAGACGTTAATTACCGGACAAGTATCGGATGATATCTTTTTAAATGTAACGAGTTTGCTCGGCCCGTTGCATAATTCACGATCTCATTAAACGAGGGGAACAGAGCCGGAATCGCGGAAAAATTCAACGACTTTTTTCTTTTATGTTACAAAAAAGTGACAGAAATTAGCGGCTATATATTTCTTGTTGATATGAACAGTTTACTTAATAAGCAACAATGTTTCATATTGAAAACAGGAGTGTTTCTTATATCTAACAAATACCGTATTTGAAATATCAACTAATAATTAACGTATAAAGATGGTCAACGTTAAACAACTCTCCTCTACTTAAACTAATAAATACTACAATATTTTAAATAAAAAAACTTATTGTCCAAAAAAAAGTTTTGACAATTGTACATCGATTAAATATTGTTCTATACAGGATGCGCCAGAACTCGCGCTCCAGAGAAAATTTTCAAGTAAGGTAAGATACCAGGAACATGAATAAAATGTTTAAAAAATTCTATCTGTCAAAAAATTTTGACACATATTTTTGACATTTGACATTTTTTTATATCTATTTAATGATACTGATGATCATGTATATGTTTTTTTTACAATTATTTAGTAAAGGGACAAAAATTTTGCCAATAAAAGCCACAAATAACATTGAACAGAGTTACAATTTAGGATACAGCTTCCTTGATTCCTCTTTTAATAGCCTATAGCAAAAAAACTAGGAAAAATAATTTTCTAACAGAAATAAATAGAGTCAAAGTGCAAACTTTAAACCCTCATAACTTCGAAATTTTACTAGATAAAAGTTTTTTAACATTTTTTCCATGTTCCTGGGATCTTACCTTATATGACATTTTTCTCTGGGGCGCGAGTTCTGGCGCACCCTGTATAAATTCTAGTAAGATTCTAATAATTATAATAGATAATAATAAAGTTTTGGTAGAGTTTGGAAACCCAAAGCAGTTGTTAGAAAATGCCAATAGGTTTTTTTTTAATAGTATTTCTTGAAAAGCGTCAGAAAAAAAAAGATTCAGAAAGAAAGTCTCAGTGAATTGAAATAAATAGAATCATAATTTTATCCAAAAATGTGACCTAATTATATTTAAATTAAAATATTTTTTATCTCCCACTTTTTACTTTAAATAAGCAAAATAACTGTTTAGCCATTGTAAACCAAAATTCACATTGCTTAGGCAATGTGGAGATGTCGGATAAAATTTATATGGCACTCATGGGTTGTTGCGAATTTAAGAAAAAATAGCTGATTCAAATACATCTCGTGAGCTTTCTTTCTTGCATGAGTAAAATGCAACAAAACCCTATTATTATTGTCAATGCAACCAAAGTCGAAATTGCAGAAATGTTACTTTACGCACCACCTAAAAATTGTGATGCCAAAAGCTCAGTGATGAACTTCAAAAATGTTGATCTAAGAGATTGAAACAAAAAAGGTTGTGGTTGAGTATTTATATAATTTTTTCCAGCAGATCTTACAGAAGTGTAACTAAGTTAATAAATAGTTAAATTATACAAGTGCGCCAGAACTCGCCAGAGAAAAATTTCAAGTAAGATAAGACACCAGGAACATGAAAAAAATGTTTAAAAAATTCTATCTGTCAAAAAATTTTGACATTATTTTTTGACATTTTTTCATGTATGTTTAATGACACTGATGATATTTTTTATAAAAACACCCTGTATATAATTTAGCTAAATGAATAATAATGATAATAATGAGCGTCCTTTTGAGCGTCGCTCAATCTTCTTTTCTTTTGATGGTATAAAAATTTTGAGAATAAACACAAATTTTTATATTTCGAAAGAATTCTCTGTTAGAAGAAGTCATATACAGCGTTGAAAACTGATCATAGTTATATGAATTATCCAATTAAGAGTTTACAAAATCAGAAATAATTTTCTTGTTCAATTTAGAAAAATTGAATTTTATATTCTCATAAAAACAATACGTAGATCAATCTTCCTCATTATTTTAAATACTTCTATTATGTGTTAGGTCTGCTTATAACACCCCTATATGATATATAAATTGCTTATATCTGTAAAAATTTTACAATCGTTTTAACCCTTTTTGCACCATTTGGAACTTCACAATTAAATCTGCTAAACATTGAGAACTACAATCAATCAAACCTTCGCATCTAAAAATCAGTTAACTGATTACGAAAATTCGAAAAAAAGAAACTCCAGTGTGACGACGAACAAAACGTAATTTTAAAAACGACAAATATTTACTATTGTGTTAAAGAATGTAGAAAAAAACTTCTTAAATGTATCAATAAATTTATATTTAATGTATAATGTAATTTTAACAAAAATGAAAAAAATGTATTGCAAATTTGAAAAAAATAAATCAAAATTAACTAAAATATAGGTATGTAGTTTAAAAAATAAAGCAAGACAAAAAATGAAAGATTTAAGTTATCATATTGCCTTGACCAATTATTAAATTTGAAATAATTATTATTTAACAATTAATTCATACAAATTAAACTCACGCTTTTTACTTCATTGCTATTTTTTGTTAGAAACATGAATATAGCACCCATTGCATTCGAAACCCACCGTTCCGGCCCTGTCTCCCCATTCCAAATTGCTTAAATCAAAAGAAAATCTTGCAGTTTTCGTGCGCGCACTTTTTAATACGTTTTCATTTCTTTAAAAGGGTTTCTCAACAACCGGAGCGTAATTACGCCACACAATAAGTACTCATTAATTATTCGAGAGGCGGTGCTTTGTTCCCACGCGTCCTCTTACCCCGAATAGAATTTGAAATTACGACCGACAACACATAAATTCGGACTCGCTGTCAAAACTTTTCGTTTCCCGAACTGTCCGCTGGATTATTTACGGATTTCAAATGGAACATTTCCAACACGCGCTGCGTTTAAGATGATGAACAATTACGCAAAAACTTACCTCGTATCCTGCACTGGGGTACTGCAACTTTTGCCATGTTCGACTCCCGAAAGCAAAGTGCCAAACTACGCAAGCGAAGGGTAAATAACCCGCCAAATTGTAGTTTTGAGTCGAATAAATTGATTTGTTTATAATATCGCAAAAGCCGAACCAATCCAAAGCCAGACACGTTTCCATCATGCTCGAATTTTTGAATTTCATATTTGGGTAATTTTCGAAAACGCCTTGGGCGATCTTTTCATAGTCACCAAAGGCATTAACCACGTTTAAAATTTTCGACATTCGATCTTTTAAACTGTTTCCGTCTTTCTTCCCTATCAAAAAAACATCTTGCCAAACCGAAAAAATCCCTTTCTGAATGTCTTTCTGACCGACGCTTGTCTTGTGAACATCTGATAACGTCACAGCCTTATTTTGCGACTTAAAAAAATGTAAAACGGACAAACAAGCCCTAATATCATTTTGCGACTTCTCGGCCAAGGCTAGCATGGCCCCCAAGTCGGTGTTGACCTTTTGCCACTTGGCAATTTCCATTAACCTCTCGGCAAGTCGAGTATTAGAAGTGGCCGGAAAATTGACAACAAACGCAATCTGTCTCAGGGGGCGTAACGCTGGCACGTAAACATCATTACAAATACAAATAATCGGCCGTTTCAAAACATTCTTCTCCTTCTGTTTCTTCTTCCCGGTGTTGCCCCCCTGGACGAATTTCACAAGAAAATCAATCGATGAAGGCGGCGCCCCGTCAATTTCGTCAAAAATCAGACAATTGGGGCGCTTTTCTTGATCGACAACCGATCGCATTTGAGTCGCGTTCTCCAAAGCTGTCTTAAAAGACTCAATACTCCGGTCATCTGAGGCGTTTATCTCAACCACGTTATAACCGGCATGCCGGGCCACCATGTGAGCTAGAGTCGTCTTGCCGAGACCTGGGGGACCACACAATAAAGCGACTTTGTGAAACGGACGCCCGTGTTCGTCTAAATCTGTACAAAGATCAGGGGCTTTCTGAAATTTTTGATTTTTTTCCGGCGGTTTGTTTGGTTTGATTTTGGGGCGTCGCTTAAAAACGACTTTATCCCAGAGTTTCATCCAGCGTAACATTATTCGATTGGTGCTCTCGTCGCTCAATAGTTCGAAATATTTTCGCGGTTTGTACAAGTCGACCCATAGTTCTTTATCACTGGGTTGGTAGCAGACTTCGGGCTCGGGGGTAGTTTGTTTTAATATTAATTCTTGGGCTTCGGCCCAGAGGGCTTCATTGGGCCCCAAAGTGCATGCTAGATTGATTTCTTGGATAATTCTCTGCCGGTCCTCTAATTCGTATTGTTCAGAATGACAGCGGATGTACACTCGGCGACCATCGTCTCGAGTTACCCCCACAAAAGGATAACTCGGGACGGTGTAAGACAAGTTGTCTTTAGTCCTATCTATACTTTGAGTGCATTCTTTGCGGAAAATTTCTGGCACGTCTCTTTCCCGGTTTAATTTACGCAACTCGACTATATGATCAATTAGCGCCAAGTCATCCGCATGATCACCTTTATATCGTTTAGAATTCGTCTGGTTTTCATACAAAATATCATCAATGTCGCCAAATAACTCTTCAATTGAACGTTTATTTGTGTTAGGCTCAGGGACGGAGTCTTCAAGTGGTGTAAAATCATGACTGAATGAATTATCATTGTTGGAAACTGGAGTCGGCTCAGATGGAGTAAACTCAAGGCTCCGGCGAGACTTTTTTGGGGTCCTTTGAACGTCTACAAGTTTGAGGTTAGAATAACCTCACTTTTACTTTCATCAATAATTTACCTCCCTGCTCCTGAAGCACCTCTAGGTCGTCACCGTACATAAGCTCGAACTCATCTTCAGAATTAGGGAACTCGTCCATTGCGACAATACACAGATTTTTGCACAAAAATTGTATATTTTTGGCGCCAAATTATGCGGTACCTAGCGGACAAGCTCCAAACTCGCACACAATGTATTGTTGGTTGCCTATGCATACAATTGGTTTCAAACCTGTACTAATAAAAAAATAAAAAAATTGCAATTACAATATAATTATTGATGACACTCTCTAATATTACATGTACAGTTACTTCTAACGTGTCTCAAGTAGAAAAAAAAACGCAAATTTATTTAATTGTCTAACGCGAAGCATTATTATTGTCACTGTAAATATTTTAATGCACTGGCAAATAAACAAGTTTACTTTGTGTTAACAGTTATCTAAACGTCTTCTCGAGATGTAATAATTTTACTTTACGATTTACGAACTCAAAATCGGAAACAACATTCCTTTCACTCTCATCTTCATTCTTCCACGACACTCGGAGAAAGCAACCTGCTTAATTATAAATTATTTATATTTATTCCTAAATGGTTTAAATACGTAATCTTCCAACCATCCAACTACGTAAATCTCATCAGCAGGTGTTCCAGTTTCAAATCACCTTGACCTTGCTTCGGAATGCACGAGAGTAAAACTCTATTAACAGTGTAACAATTAGATGTTTCCGGAGGTAGCGCTCATTGGACCACAACGGAATTAAAATCATTAAACAATGATGGATAACGATGACAACGTGCAGGAGTTAACAAGTAGAACAAAGTTTTAACCGTATATTTTAACGGTATTATTGAATCACGTAGAGAAGGAGGATATGTAAGCAAACATTCCGACGACTTGGTTTGAAGAAAATACCGTAAGGAAGAGAAGGGTCCTCTCCAATCCGATAGTCCAGAAAAAGCAACAATTCTCCCCAAATTACAGTTCGCATTTTGCACGTAGTTTTATGTTGTGAAATTTGTTCTCAAACAATTCTAATGTATTTTTCTATAAACAGCCGAGATAGTGCAGGTGTGTTTTATTTAATTACATTATTGCTTACTTTATTATTTCATTCGACAATTTACGTATTTTATGCTTACAGTATTTTAAAATATTTTTAACTAGGTATCCAAATTAACACAAAAATAAAACACTAAAGGCTCGGCTTCTCAAACGATTTATCGTGGGGTTAATTTTATTGGTTCCATAATTGCTAAAGAAACACCAATCAGATGAGTGTAACTTAGTAACTATCGAATCGATAAAATTTATCAAATGATGAATGGTTCTAGAAAGCGGGCATAAAACAAATAAACTAAAAATGTCGTTTTTGCACTTTTTTTAATATACATTTGAAGTAAATCTCGCCAGATTAATCTTATAAAAAATAAATAAAACGGAAAAAAAACAGTCAATTAAGCATTTCAAAACATTCTTATATACAGAGATTTATACAGTGTTGTAGGTATATATGTTAATGTTATATGTTATAATGTTACCTATATACCTACAAGATGAATCATGAAAAACGTTCTAACATAATATTTCTTATAACTAAATTAGTCATCTATTTTTTGGGATAGATGCTAAGTCAATAGGTACTGCTTTCAGATTCACCGGAAGTGACATCACCTGTATATTTTTTATATTTATATTTCTCATTAAATTGTCTTTCTTTAAATAAAAATAAGTTTTGAAAAAAATAGAACATTTTTATTTATTTTATCTAAGACATGCAAACGATTGATAACAAAAAACTGTTCAACTTTGATCAAAAAAGTATTATAACATTTAAAAAAAATTGTTATTTGTATCACAAGGCCAGAAACTGTTATCTTGCAAGCACTTGTAAAACAGTTCCTTGTCGCACACTATTTTTGGGACCGACCAATTTTAAATTCCTCAAAAAAATTAAAATATTTAGTTACATGTATTTAGGATAGCAACACAATGTCCAAATTAAACTTCAAATTAAAAAAAAATATATTCAGTTTTTTTGTTATGCCACTTCTCATTTAAGAAATAAAAACCACAGATTTTTAATGGTTAACCAAATATTGCCAATATTTTTATTTAAATACTAATTTTTAGTAAAATATTATGACTTATTGAATATTTGACAACTTGAAAGAAAAAATTACCGGTATTTTTGTAATCTTAACGTTGGCAAACCTTCATATTACCGCCCAAGTCATAAAATGATATCTATTACTGGTCATGGGATTTAATGATGTGTTTCCCAACCTTTAATAGGTTAGTAATCGGTATATTACATTCTTGATTGTGAATAAAATTGATTTCATTTAGGTGTATATATACTTATGTAATAACAAAAAGACCGTTGATGTCTTAATTAAAAACGCATCATGTCTTTAATGTTGTTCAAAATAAACAAAACTATTAAAAAATGTTTTCTTATAATTTGTCGTTAAATATTTACTTATTTGTATACTCTAAGATAAAGAAATCTAGAGTATTTTTATCAACTATAGAAAAAGAAAATACTTATTCATTAATAAAATTATCTGTGTTAAATATTTATAAAACAAATTCTGTAAATGTTTAAAGTTTAAATCTTCAAAGTCTTTAGTTTAAGTGTATTTTTTATTACTAAAAACTCCTGTAATAAAGTTTATTGTTAACGGATCAAAATAATGAAAGAAATCTAAGTGCACTAAAAGTCGCCAATGCAACTATCACTTAAAACATAAATTTATTAAAATTGTCTTAAAATAAACAATTGTGGTTTTGACATTTAATTCACATCTTTTTTCATAAACCAACTTTTACTATTCGAGTGTAGGTCTACATGCATTGTCTGTTAATTAATCTGATTTGCTCCGTCGCAGCTAGAATGTGGGTGATTTTCCACGGTGAATTACCTTCAAGAGCATAGAAATCCGGTTTGTCGCAGTGCCCACTTGCGTATTCTCTTCAGAGACACGGTCAGTGTGCCTCCAACTCGCGCTAAAATAACTCAATTCGAATCGTTTCATGCAAAATGCAATCGCGGAAGTGTTAGCCTTGCAAAATATGTTTGTTTTTTCTAAAATCCTGGGTATAAAATGAGCCGGCAACAAGCCAGAGTGATTGATAACTGGATGATAAGAATTCACACTTTGACCCCGAGCTGAGATAACTCCAAGAAATGTTCAGTGACAATTATTAGGTGCAAAAATGTTGACTCTGTACATGGTGGTTGCGTGGCTTATAGGAATTTGCTACGGCTTTGTGCTGATTTCGTCAGCAGCGGGCCAAAATGACGTAAATTTATTCCAACTTGGGGAAAAATCAGTTTATAAACTACACTCAACCGTTCTCCTAAATGAAAAAACAGGAAGCGGTAAAAATGTAGGGTTTTTTATTACGGGGGACGTTCTAGTTCATAGTATTTGGGGCGAGGGTGAGGAAAAATTACTCAAATTTGAGGTAAGGCTAAACTTTGTTCAAAAAACAAATCTGAAATTGTCACAGCTTAAAGCTCCCCAACTGCATATTCGGTCAAGAAAAGCTCCCTCCCCCGATGGTTTCATTCAACATTCGTCCAAACTGGAGGAATTCTCTTTAAAACCATTCTATGTAACGTGGCGTAGTGGAAAAATTGGTAAAATTTTGCTCCCAAAAGACGAACCCAAATCTTTGGCTAACTTCAAAAAAGGAATTGCAAGTCTATTCCAGGTGATTAGTTCCACTAAATTTAAACACGACTAAATTCCCGTTTTAGTTCCAAATCCTAGACGTGGAAACCACCGAAAATGACGCTTCTGGTTCGTGCAAAACCATTTACCAAACCATTGACACAACGAAATTCCGAAAAATTAAAACCAATTGTATTTCTTCCGACTTTCCTTTTGTCAAAACCATCCATCCTATTCTGGATGTCCTTGTCACCTCCTCGAGACAAGTGACGTACGAAATGGACCCCAAACTAAGTCACATAAAGGCCATCTATGCCAAAGAATCACACACCATGGTTTTGTCAGTGAAAGAAGACCTTGGCAGTGTTATAGAAGCAGATCAAATCTTGAATCATGTGAAAAATGAGAAAACTGAACCTCTCCGGGGACCAACACTCGAATCAGTTCTTGATTTAGTCTCTCCAGGACACACCGAAGACACTCTTCTATTACAAAAAGAAGAAAGTGATGATGATGGCAAAACGTTCCCAAATCTTGTTAACGAGCTTAGAGACAACATTGCAGGACAACATTTAGGAAGCCTGCTTTCGGCAAAATCATTTTTGCGACTGTTAGAAGGCGCAAGGAAGGCAACTAAAGACGAAATAGCCAAAGTTTTGGGATCCAAGAAAAATCAGAAGATTTTGTAAGTACCAAATTTTGACCTAGCTATGGCTAATTTTTCCTTTCAGGCCACAAATTTACGATATTCTTGGCTATGTGCAAACACCAGAAGCCCACGCTAGTGTTTTAAAGAAGCTCCATTTTGACAAAGAGGACCATCTAGACTTGAGTGAACGCTACTTGTGGTCACTTTCACTCTCCACACATCCTAATCCCGAAATTTTAAAAGACCTTCTAGACAGACACCGAAAAAATGACAATTACCCAGAAAAAGTCAAAGAAACTTTAGTTCTTACTATTGCACAAATGGCAAATGTGATTCAAGTTTCAAACCCTGAAGAACGCAAGGTGGGTCATACTTAACTTTCTCGTCAAGTAATTTATTTTTGTTTTTAGATTGTGCGAAGCGTGGAAGAAATAATTGTTAACAATTTGAACTATGCTAAAGGTGAAGACCGATTCAAGTTTTTGCGAGCCTTAAAAAATCTCAAAAGTGTCACAACCATCCCCCTTTTAGTGAAGATAATAGAAGAAGGGACGTTCAGAGAAGGAGTTCTTGCATTCAAAGCAATAAAATCTCTCGGTCCTTCTTTGTGGACCGCGGATATATACAGAGTAGCGCGGAAAACATTTTTGCAACTTGACCGGAAGTACGACACTAGTGCTAGAACCATTGCCGCTGATATTCTTCTAGAAGCACAACCTAGTGACAGTCTTTTGAAAGACTTCTTGTACTACCTGAAAATCAACGACTCTAGTGTTGAAGTCAAACAATACGTCATGCAGCGTCTCCAAATGTTATCAGATGAGGACCAAAACTTCAACCAAAGATTCACTCAATTCATTAAGTCTGATGCAAGTTTAAATAATTATGAAGCTTTGGCACCTTATGGCCTCTCGACTGCTTTAAAACGCACGTTTTTGAAGAGTCCCTCGAGCAATGGAAGCCTTCTGACACTTCAAGAAATCTTCGGCGGGATTGTCAAACGAGGAATCGTCAATGTCATGATGGATAAAGACAGTCAAAGTAGAGAAATGTTCAGTTTGGGAATTTTCGCTGGTGGTTTAAGTAATTTGGTCGGTGGTGAAGTGGAAGGTGACGAGGAAACGGCTACTGCTGGCATGGAACTCACAATTATGGATACCCAAATCCGTCCTTTTGTTTTTTTCAACGGCCAGAGTGAATTGATGGGTCATGTGTGGTCGGGAACGGCTTCAGAGCGTACTACTGCCTTCCAAGCCCTTATTTTATTGCAAGACCATTTAGAGTTTATCAGATTGGGGCCAGGCTTTGTGGCTGAACTCAATTTGAAAGGGGGTTTGTCCTTTGACTTGTCTGGAAACATCGAAATATCGCTGTGGGGGCGTACTGCTGATTCCAACGTTGAAAAATCGTAAAACACTTAAAATTGTCTCAAATTTGGGTTTATTTAAGTTTTTAGGGCAGGGATTGTAACTAATGGGCTGATTGCAATTGACACGTCTTTTGTGAGGTCTCAGATCGAGTTCAGTGCCTCAATTGAACCAAAATTGAATCTCAAATCAGATATAGATTTTTCAGGAAACATGAATTTATGTATGAGAGTCACTCAACCTGATTCTATCTTCAGGTAAGGTCATTTCTAGCGAAAAAACATTTTCTTATTGTCTGTATTTTAGACACAACATTTACAAAATCGAAAGAATCCCAGGAAGTAAACACAAGATGAGAATCGCCAAGTATAAGAAAGTGTTAATCCCCGGAACGACGTATTCCCTAAATAGGAAAAACAATGAAATGTGTAGTGCTATGTTTAGTTAAGTTTTACCAAGTGCTGTGTTAAACTCGTGCTCAAATGTCATAATTTTCACAATATATTTATTACCAAAATTATCTACAACCACACTCTAACACCACCATGTCTTTGTAAGCATATCGGTAAGTGAGAACTCCGTTATTATCCACATAAAGGATTGAAATTGAATCCAAGTTTGTTGGAACGCAGCAAGACCTTGAAACTCTTGATGGAGACACGCTGTGAAGGAGGGCTTGGACTATTGCGTGTTTGGTAGGGTTTAGATGCGCAGCCACGGGGTAAAAACACTTGCCTTGGCATTGGTACGCCTATAAAACTTACAATATTACATGTAAAACACACAAGTGGGACATTACTTCGTAACCCGGAGGTTGGACTATCCACAAGTCGAAATTTATTTCAGAGAAATTGATATACAGAGGCTTGCGGTGACAACTGTTTTTAGTTTTTCTCGATTTCTTTGTTTGGATTTTTTTAGTAGTGTCGTCATCCCAAAGTTTGTTTGTCTCCTCTTCATAATCATCTTCCAAGCTTCGTTTTTTTCTTCTTGTGACATTTTTACGATTGTTGGAAGTGTAAGATAATAAAAGAATAGGATAATCGTGATCGAAATCATCTTTGACTGGCATTAAAGACAGTTTAAAATCACTCTCAGCCGTCTTGTAGTAGGGCAAAAATGCGCACACCGAAATTACCACTTTTAGGTACTTCTCGGTTTCACTTTTCTGCAAAATTTTGACGACTGGTTGCGTGACGTTGAAAGAAATCCAAGTGTTGTTTGAATGGTGAACATGAATTTGTTCAAAATGGTGAAACTTTTTAGTTATATCGTCGTATATTGAAACTTTGAGTTGTCTTTCAACTCCGGAGATGACATCCGATTTGATTCCAACCAAAGTCAGGATTTTCAACTCTGCACTTACAAACTGTTCCTCTTCATCAGAATTTGGCAAATCGAAAATTAATAAATGGTTTTCTGACTCCTCAAACACTTCATTATCGTTGATTGGCCCTAAATTCGTTTTACTTCAATTATTAAATTAAATTTTGCTATTAAAATCTTACCAGAATGTTTCGGAATTAAGCTCCGGACGACATCAGGACTCGTCAAATTATCTCTCTTTACCTTGTTTTGTTCATACAATTCTAGCATAAATTTCGGAACGTGATATTTCTTTTTGTTCACTGGAACAGAATTGTCAGTTTTGTTTGGTAATTTTGTGACGATGTTAGCAATTGTGTTTGTGTTGGTATTTATGTTGAGTTGGATCGAAGTGTTTGCTAAGTTATTTTTTAGTAAAACTAGTAAGCAGATCCACAAAAGTACTACTAGAGGCACTAAAATAAAAACGTTTGGCATTGTTGATGTTGTTTAAAACGCGATCATTTTCGAACTGGAAATTAGCGTCGAGACGACGGCGTCCGGGAAAACACTTGAGATCCATTTAGGTGTTTATCGCGACTTGATGGTCTTATCAAAGAATTATACCTGTTAAAAATAACCGATGGATCAGAGAGAGGGTCGTTTTTAATTAGATTTGACGGGTCAATAAATAGAAAATGTTTATCGGTTTGTAACAATTAAGAAAGTATTTTTGTAATAAAATTCTTGTTTCTTTCTTGCAGATGTAAATTGCTAAAACACTGTTTCTATATTCTAGGTGTAAATAAAAAAGACTTGTGTTATAACTAGACCTTAGAAACTCTTGCTATTTAAATGACAAATAAATATGATAAGTATAACACTTTATGTTATAGATTTGAAACGAGTATAAGTTTAAATACATTTAATTAAATAATTGAGTACGCATATCTTATGAACTCGATCGATATTATACAAATGGTAAAAAGTAGCTATACCATCAAAATAAAAAAAACAAAATTCGTCAATTGAATGCTCCCAAATTTGTCCCATGTTTTATTTTTCTATACAATAAAGAAACATAATATTTTTACATACTTAACAATAACAAGTATGAATTCTTATTTGTAATAATACTGATACATTTTTTACAACAGTTATAATTTTACTAGCTTAACACGAAATTATCCAAGAAAGTTGCCTTGTCGTCGATAACTGTTGTTAAAAATTCGCTTAGACTTAAAGGTATTATAAAGTACACTTTACAATATAAATAGTGATTTGAAATATTTTGATTTGGATATTTTCATATTAGGCTAACACTACATTCGAAGAAACAGAACCCAAATGAGATTTTACAAAGATAGACTTGACCTTATCTAACGTTATCAAATATTTGCTAAAACTAACAAGTTATTGGTTCCAGTGGTTTCGACTAATATAAAAAATCCTAATATAAAATCACTAGCTCACGTCCATTCCTGCCTTTAAAATTCAACGATACACCTACAAACTATAAAATAAGACACAAATTGATATATTTCACCGATATGACTAGGGATCTGGGTAGAGGATTCACGAAGACCGTTGAAGAAGAAGAAAAGGCATTAATGGTAACGAAAAGGACACAACTACCCTCGAGGATTATCACAAGAGCGAACCATTCTCCAACCATTAAAACACGTCGGGCTGGCGCGGGCCTGGGGGGCGATAGTCGTTTATATCCTCGCCTATGGGGGCGCACTGGTGGGGCGAACACGTCACTTTGGCCCCCGGACCGCACACACACTCCACGCAGTTGCCAGTGTTGTGCGGGAGTTTATCCCCAACTTCATATTTTCGCCCTACAAACAATTTTTTAATTAAAACTCTTAAATTTCTAATGTATACCCATGACTAGACAAAATCGGGTCTGTTGAGTTGTCGCCGGGGATTCCTCGGTAGAGTTCATTTCAGAGGTGAAAGTCGAGTCGGTGGAGTTGTCGAGAGTTTCCGACTCTGAAGTCGATTCGTGTTCAATTGGTGTACTTTTGGAGGTAGAGGCCGAGGGGACGTTTACTAGAAAAACAAAATTAAAGTGTGAAGATTAGTTGGGGAAGAGTTACAGCAAGGGGTGAAGGGGCCGCGGTCTCGACAAGGGCCCTCCATCGTGGGGGGACAGTCTTGCCACCAGCAGAACATCTCGCCGTCTAAGCATAAGCAGAATTCGCAAGGGTCGGGCCGATAAATCTGGAAGAAATAAGAATTGCATTTTTTACTAAAAAATTCTCTTTCAATCTCATCTCCCTCGTCACGCTAATTTGGTCAAACCGACGTACCGTATCTCCCCCATAAAACCGAATTAGTCTTTTAAATATATACTTCAATAACTTCAGACGGTAAACCTCTCCGGAGAAAAATGCGTCAATAAAAAATACCCTCCCGGAATGTAAATTTCCTTTCGGTGTTGAAGAAGTAGCAATGACGAATCATCCCCCACCTGTCACCCCTCGATGAATATTCATGTCGCGGCGCTTTTCAGTTACACTCGTCGGCTTGGAGTGTTTTTAAGTGTCCATCTAAATCATCCCGGAAAAATGTCGGGTATTTTATGAAACCGGAAAGCTAATCACGGGTGGACATCAATGAGTGTGTTGTGTTTTATCGGCCAATAGAGGATTTACGACCGACATAATTTTAATCCGGGAGATAAGTTTGAACCTCCGGTGTGTGGTTTATACGCTCCAGGGAAAAAATTCATACCGGACGGAGGGATTTCCAAAGACATTTTAATTAATGAAATTATGACAGCTACGAAGGGAGCAAAAACTTTATTATTAATGTGATAAATTTCGGGATAATTGTTTTTTTCGATGTTCAGGTTCTGCGTAATTTATTAAATGGCTTTGCTTCAACGATTTTCTCGTCATAAATTACCGGACTTTGTCAATAAAACAAAATAAAAAATATGTGTAATGTTGGTTGCATACATCGATATAATTTCAAGGTTATGTTGGACGTCAAAACAATTTAACCTAACTTTTTCAACCCCCAAACATGGATAATTTAACGGAACTCATGTAAGTGAAACCCTTGGTCCCTTATTTTCGCTCAATTAGAAATTGATCCAAGGGAATCCGCCTCCCTGTTCGACGCCCACGAGCACTTCATGTCCTTTTGTCTCTTAGCAGCCCAACGAAGTAAAGATCCCTGTACCCAAGTGGGGGCTTGCGTAGTTGACCGTCAAGGGAATCTTATCGGTTCTGGCTACAACGGCATGCCTCGTGGCTGCCACGACGATGAGTTTCCCTGGGGTAAAAGATCTGAGAATCCTTTGGAAAACAAACACTTATATGGTAAGACGCTGGGCTTGTTGGTGTCTTAATTATTTACGCTTATTTTTCAGTATGTCATGCCGAACTTAATGCTATTGCTAATACGACTGGAACTATGAACGATTGTGTGATATATGTCACCTTGTTTCCTTGTAATGAGTGCGCAAAATTGATTATACAAAATGGTATCACCGAGGTAGTTTTTTTGTCTGATAAACATGCACACAAGAAGAGTACCATGGCAGCAAAGGCTATGTTTGACAGTGCTGGTGTTAAATATTGGTATTTTTTTAATTGGTAACTTGCAGTAATTATTATTTGTATTGCAGGCAGTTTAAATCAAAGAAAAAAATTACAATTGAATTTGAAGACATTAAAGATAGGGTGTTCCACCAGATTATCTTATAATTAAAATACTTAATGTATTTTAATAATGAGAAGCTTTTATTTGTACCTTCTTATTAGATAATTATAGTGTTCTCTATAACATGCTTATGACTGTGATTACTTTTGTAGGCAATAAAAATAAAGTAATTATTTTTTCATTTTTTTGTATACTTAACAAACATCTGAAATCTAAATTATTAAATTTATATAAAAATAAAAACGTAAGTAACGTTAATTAGCTTGTTTAATAATAATTGTACAAACAAAATATTAAAAATCTGCTATTGATGTAGTTGCTGTGCAAACAAATTAGATTTTTGACATTTGATGAATTCGTAATCTTGATAAACCTGTATAAATTACTTCCCGACCATGGGATACAATGATATTTTTCCCGACCTCCAAAAGGTACGAAATTGCCATATTACTTACTGCAGTGATAGTGGATATAAATAATTCATACCCTTTTGATCTATTCGAGAGTTTCATAATAATAACAATTAGTAATATTTATGTCAAGTTTTTAAGCTAATGTGCCCACATTTATTTAATTGACAGTTATAAACAGATCACAGTAAATTATATTTTATTTTATATTTTGGGATAAACATTGTCATGATTGGAACTTTTTAGTCTGGCTTACGTGCGAATGTTCACATATTTGATATTGTACCTATTTCTGGTAATTCCCCGAAAAACTACTTAACTATCTTTATTTCAAAGTTCATTCTAAAAATGTTAATCTTACAATAACAGCTAATAATTGATTAATTGAACAATAAGATTGATATAAACAGATTACTCAAATTACTCAGTTTTAATTAAGTGTAGTCACTTACATAAACACTTATACATAAACGGTGAACAAAATGTATGGAACCAAGCGGTTTTTTTTTTCAGAAACTAACTACTTTACAAAAAATATTAGTGTAGCGCAAAGTACAATTAAAATATGACCGTTTATTAAGAATAACATTTTTCGAAATTCCTTTTAGTTTTCGAGTTTTGCAAAAAAAAATTAATGGCAACCTACTGTTACAATTTTTTTCAATTAAAGACTATGATCTAAAAATGTCTTCTCTAATTAAATATAGGTTTTTTTGTTACAAGTACCTAAAAATTGTAGGTTAAAATACAGTTTTTGCGGACGAATTGTTGCTGTTTCCGGACGAGGCGAAGACAAATAATAATTTCTGGATTTAGTAAAGCTTCTGATTCGATATTAGTGTGGCAAAAGATGTTGAAGACAAGTTTTATAGAGTTTTAAAATCTCAGCCTATTAAATTGTTGCTTCCTCCGGTCGCTCGAATTTAAACTACGATTTTAAACTGTCTATAAAACTCTAGTTGCCTTAGTAGCTATTTATTTAATTAGGAGTCATTTTTAGATTAAAATTAAATTTAAAATTTTTTAAAAATGTGTAACAATGGGTTGCCATTATTTATCTATTTATTGCAAAACTCGAAAACTAAAAAGAATTTTCGAGAAATGTTATTTTTGATAAACGGTCAGATTTTAATTGTACTTTACGCTACATTTATTATTTCATAAAGTGGTTCATTTACAAAAAACAATGCTTGGTTTCATACTTTTATTCACCGTGTATAAATTACTCCCCGCTCAAGGGATACCATGACATATTTTCCGACCTCCAAAAGGTAGGAAATTGCCATATTACTGCAGTGATTATGGATATAAATAATTCATTTCTTTTTGATATATTCAAGAGTCTAATAATAATAATATTTTAGTAAGCTAATGTATCCCACATTTATTTACTTAACAGTTATAAACAAACCACAGTAAATTATATTTTATTTCAAATTTTGAGGTAAAAATTATTGTTATGAACTTCATAGCTCTGGCGTACGTGCAAATGTTCACGTATTTGATATTATACCTACTTTTGGTAATTCCCCGAAAAACTACTTACCTGCTTATCTTTATTTCACAATTCATACTAAAAATGTTGATCGATTGAACAGTTAATTTGATATAAACATTTATTACAACATTTATGTAATTTAATGTAGGTACAATTGCGAGCATTAAATTTTGGTAGGTAATGCCATTTTGGAGCTTCATCTTTTTGTTAAAAAAAAAGAAATTTCTCTGTGTAATTGTGTCTGCTGTCTACGTTCTTTTAAAGATAAATATAAAATATATCGAAACACCACGCCAAAAACTAACTGACAAATATTTTATTGTGGCGCCAGTCTCTTACTTTAACAAAGTGAAAATAATTACCATGCTGGAGAAAGGGTTTTCTGAAGATGAGGTAGCTGATTAGTTAGGGCTCGTAAGAAGATCCGTCAATTTCAAGACATCTATTTGACATCCACACGTTCGTTTTACAAGAAAGCATGTTAGCCAATGACCGAGGCAATGACACTGATTACCAAAATTTAGTGCTTGCAATTTGTTTTTTAACTTATACATATTTTGTTTATAGTTTTTTTTTAACTTAACAAAAGGTGCTGTCTTTTATTTATTATAAGTAAATGCTAAATAAGTACCTACGTTAATACCTACTTTGAGCAATTTTTTTATTCGATCCCTAAATCCTTCTACACGATCGTTTTTATTCGATAATAATTGTCATGCAATTCAGTTAAGGATGTACAACGTTTTTCAATAATAAAGAAAATATAAGGTTTCATCAGAGTTTCGGAATAAGTATAGTCCGTTTTTTATTTATGCGTTTGTATCAATTAATTATTCGAAAGACGTATCAGATAGCTATCTCTTTTCAACATTTGTAAATAGCTTTGTTGCTCTCTCGCTACGTATTTGCATAAGGTCGGTCACGCTATTTATCTCACTTTAACAAAAGCGATTAATGTAACGCAGAGCTAGTGACGTACCTCAAAAGTGTTTCTTACTGTGTTGAAGCTAATATTTATACCCTCTATATTATCATAACAATTGTAATTCAAGCCTCATAAAAATCCTAATGCCAGAAAGAAACTTTAATTTTTGACTTTTGACCAAAATGTCCGAAGCTGTCAAATGTGAAAAACAGACGGAGATCATGTCGTATTCTTGATTCACACTACCCCCACCAGCAAATAAAAAATTAGACTGTATACAGGGTGTTTTGTAAACAGACCACCAAAAGAAAACGACAAGTAAGATAAGAAACCAAAATTTTATCTGTCAAAAATCAATAATTTTTGACTTTTATTTTTTGTCACTTGACATTTTTTTTTATGTCTATTGTTACCGATGATCCTGTATAGGTAAGTTTTTTCATAATTATTCAATAAATGTACAAAAACTTTGTCAATAAAAGCTACAAATAACGTTAAACATAGTTACAGTTCTGGATACAGCTTCCTTGTTTCCTCTTCTAATATCTTGTACATACCAAAAAAACTTGTAAAATTATTTTTCCAACAGAAATAAATAGTCAAAGTGCAAAATTTAAACTCTCATAGCTTTAAAATTTTTATAAATAGAGTTTTTTTGTCACTTTTTTATGTTCCTGGTATCTTATCTTACTTGTCATTTTCTTTTGGTGGTCTATTTACAAAACACCCTGTATTACTTTTTAGTTTTTAACGGATTAAAATGCACGTTAGGAACGTAACTGTTTATAGTTACTACTCGTAATTTGTTAAAAATGTTACTGTTAATTTTCAAATGTTTTCTATTTTATGTTATTCTAAAGTTTTGTTGCAAAAATACACATTAAATTTTCAGATCCAAGAATGACTCGATTGCAAATTATCTTGATCTCTCGATAGAACAAACCTATTTGAATGACATTTATCAGTTTGATAAGAGAATTAATGCTGTATATATAAAAAGAATATAGATACCTATTTATATAGTTTGCAACTTTGTTCTAAAACTTTGGAAACCATGGCTACCACGTAAGAGTCAAAAACACATTTTTTTCTTACGATTGTTTATTTGTGTAGGAGTAGGACTTCCGAGTTAAACAATGATGAAGCACTAATGACATTTTGCCTATCGCTAGCTCAACTAAGCAAAGACCCTAATATTCAAGTAGGAGCTTGCGTGGTCAATTCCCAGGGCACAGCCGTTAGTTTTGGATTTAATTGTACCGTAAATAGTTGTCCTGATGATTGGAAAAAGATTTCTTCAAACGAATACCCTTATGGCGAATACGGTAATACTAATTTTCATACATAAAAAAATTGAAATATTTTTTAGTTTGTCGCGCCGACCGAAACGCTATTCTTAACGCCAAGGCTGCCAATGTATCTCTTGAAAATGGCACTCTTTATACGACACTTTTTCCTTGCAATGAATCTGCAAAATTTATTATTCAACATGGCCTTAAAAGAGTTGTGTACCTGTGCGACAATTACAAAAATTTGGAAGAGTTCAAATTTGCCAGAGAGATGTTCAAGATAGCTGAGATTCCATGCGAGTAATGAATTTGTATTGTTATAAAACATGTAATTATTTTTCTTTTACTTGAAGTGAGCTTCTTTTAAATAATAAGGTGGTGAGATTTAATTTCGAAAATAGGGTTTCGACATGTATGGAGGTAGAAAAAAACTCTGAGGAAGAAAACGAAACAAAAAAACGTAAAATGTAATAACATTGTTGGTATCAATAATAAATTATATCATCTGATAAAGGTTTATATTTACTTATTAAAGTCTTAAATACCCTTGCATATGGCGGTTGAAAGCTTCTGTCTTTCATGAAGTGAGCTTTTTGATATAGTCGTCACCAGGAATATTTGGGATTGACGTATGCAAAGCTTTATTGAGGGTTAAGCAGCTTTGTGGTCGACTGTAATAATTTTTCACTGCGTGTGGTACTACACAGAAGATGTAGAAAAGAGCCGTATTCAGGAATTTTTGTGGTGGAATTTTCATTTATTACAGGCAAACATTTGAGAATTAATATATTAATTTAATATTAAAGTGATAATGCAGATTTGTAAAGAAACAATCTCAAAATATAACTGAATATTAAAATTAATTTAATTTTTTTTTGATGAAAGCCCAAAAACAACTTTCTGTTACGGACCATCTCTTCCTACAAACCTCTGAAACGTGCCTGTCCTAAGAAATGCAAATTTGTTTATGGCATCTCTACCGCAAGCCCCATGAACCACCCTGGGGGGTAAGCGGCTTATTCTATAATGAGTCTCAAATATTGTTGGTGACGACTATATCTCTACATTGAAAAAGAATATACATATAAAATAAAAGTTTTCAGCATTTTTGATTAATAATTTTCTTGGAATCGATGTTTAAATTTTTAGAATCAAAAGTCGAAATTAAGTCCTATAATAATAACAGTTTCATTCGTCACTCAGTTCGTGATCAAAATGTAAATAGTAGTTTCTTATTTCGTTCATGAAAATTTAAGTTGGACCGAGTTTGTAATAAATCAAAAAAAATCTTTTTTTATATAATATAACAATGATGTTAATGATGATGATTATCATTATTATTACAATAATTTCTAGGAAAGCTGGAAAAGTGTCATGTATCGTTTATTTATAACCAATTACATACATTATGTAATTTGTTTGTCACACTTATAATCTGTGATAAAGTGATTTGCAGGATAAAGAATCTATATAAGTAAATACTAAGTGCTATCGATAGTGTACTTTTGGAAACGATTTCACAATGACCGAAAGGTAAATACAAAAATATTTTTTTATATTATACTTATCGTTTTGAATTGTAGTGATCAAAAAATTATGGCTTTCTGTAAAATGGAGAGCGAAAACAGCAAGGATCAGAAAAGAAAAGTTGGTGCGTGTGTTATTAATGATCAAGGACGAATGATAGGTTGGGGTTTTAATAATATGCCTAGAGGTATTGAGGGTTTTGACAAATACTGGGACTCTAAATCGGAAAAATTGCTTTGTGGTAACTACATTTTGTTTGTTGTATTAAAAATTTATTTTATATATTTTGCACAGTGTGTCATGCGGAATTGAACGCAATTGCCATGTGTAAAGGCCCATTAAATAATGCAAAACTTTATTGTACAACGTTCCCTTGCCACAATTGTGCACAATTAATTGTACAGAGTGGCATTAAGCAAGTTTTTTATGCTACAAACCTAGGTAAAGGTTGGAGATTCAGTGCCTCGGCTTCAAAACAAATTTTTAGAGCCGCACAAATTGAAGTCAAGTATGGTTTGTATAAATACACCAGATTCAGAAAAAAACAGCTTTTGTTTTAAGGGAAGTAGCTCCTTCTGATGATCCTTACGAGGAAATAGAAGATTTTATAAGACCTATGAAGGACAGTCATTAAATTTATAAAATATATGTAGTTGTGTCAAAGATAATAAACATTAAACACAAGGTGATAACCCGAATTTAATTAAATGCCTACAAAACACACAGTTTTTCTTCCGATTTTTCTCAGATCGAGCCCCCATACAACGTCCAAGTGAAACGTTTTAAAGATTTCATTAATCATTTAAAAGCTTCCAGAGAACGGGAACAAAGATCAGTTGAACGGTAGGAGAAGGACGAGGTCGTCAAATCTGTGTTGAACAGCTTGCTGACTAGATAACTATTCAATGTTCCGGTTCTCTGTTTACATTATAATTAATTCGGTACGTTTTGTGCAATTGAATCCCATTCTTGGGACATCTATAATGCATGAACGCGAATAATAACTCGCACACCCACGAAGCTTACATTTGTTGATGAGAGTGCAGGTTGACAATGCCATTATTTTTACAGAAAAAAACGCAACAAGTCGCTTTAATAAACGCCGACACGCAGTTAAATCACGTAAATTTATCTCGCTCAAAATTAAGATATAAAAAACATTCTCTGAAAAAACAAAATAGTAAGTATATGAAAAAACAAGTGTTACAATACACGAGTATCACAATGAGAGGTTGTGTTGATAAAATTTTTTTATTGAGAGCTTTTTAAATTGATTTTATTATTATATTTCACAGTTAAAATTTCTCACTTAGCGACAGTATGCACAGTCAGTAATGGCAAAAGTATTGCATAAAATGTTTCCAACAGTGTCACAAAGAGCATTTTGTGTTGCAAAAAATGCTTGTGACACCGAAATAGAATAGTACATTCTGTAACAAGGTTAGAATGAAAATTCGATCTACTCGTATTCTAACCGAGTAACAAACGGTATTTTCTCCACGACCAGAAAGTATGAATCAAAAACGATTAAATCTGAACAAAACAAGTTATTTGAGAGATCTGACATTGAAATATTGAAATCTATGGCAATGTATGAATTTTGTTAAGCATAATTATAGAATATTAATTAATTAATTATAGAATATTCACTTGTAATAGATATAATGAAAATACATGCAAAACACATAAGAAGCACGTGTTTCAGAATAAATATTCTATCTCAAGAGTGAAAATTTTTACTTTTTATTATTATAATGGTCGTAAAGAAAAAAAGATTTTATTAGTACTTTTTTTCAAAATATAATACTTTATAAAGATTTCACATTTTTACAAATTATATTTTGTTTAATTGATAAAAAAAAGTAATTTTTATAACAGATGTAGGTTTTAATTTGATAATCTTATACACGGTAATCAAAAAATGACGGATAAGCTTGTTGATGGTTTTGTATGCTAATTTTTTTAAAAAAATTACAAAAAATTAATTAAAAAATTCTTTAAACCGAAGTTTACAAACTATTAAGCTTCAAAGTTGACGAATAAATTATATAATTCTGGTCTATGTTAATTTGTTACCTTTTCTAAAACATAGAGAATTATTTCATTGTTAACAACAGTTTCTTGGGAAACAGAAATAACCTTCATTGTTTGCTACTTTCATTATTTTTGCTGATACATTACAACGTTGGCAGCGTAGTAAAATTCATAATTCGTCATAGCTCAAAAAAATTAAACAGAAGATTTTTTTTTAACATTTTAACGAACTCCCTAAAGCTTTTCCAAGAATGGATCATCGAGGTTATCCGTCATTTTTTGATCAACGTGTTAAACCAGGTTTCCCCGTTCTTTGTTTTTGACATTTTTAACTGCGTGTAGTAACTTCCTGAGATAAATTACGACAAAATGATAGAATCAATGGTAAAGTAGATCAAAAATTAAATTTTGTCACAGTTTATCGTAGCAAATTCAACTAGAATATTCGGTTTGCTTGTAACTTAAAATTCATACATACAGGGTGAAGAATATAAAGTATGGAACCAAGCGGTTTTTTTTAATTATTTGCCTTCAAAAAATTATAATTAATACAGACTAAGTGATATAAAAAATGTGATTGTATTTTGATAATGAAATTTTGTTTTGATTTTGAGTTATGCGATTTTTTTGTCAAAATTGCAATTTATGTAAAAAAAAATGAGAAAACTAAATTTAAAGTAGATGTAATCCTTAGATCATAACCTTCATGAGAAAAATGCCATTTAAAAAAATTTTGAAAATTGTAGAACTCAAAAACAAAAAAAAGATATGAGAAACCTTATTTTTGATAAAACATCACATTTTTATAGTACCAATTAATTTTTCTAAAAAATAAATAAATAGTGTAATCAAAAAACTTTTGATCTGTTAGTCATCCTTTCTACATTTATTTAACTACGATCTTAACTGTTAATAATAAATAACACAACTTGCGTTTTCGTCTGCTCTCTGAATCAATGATCAAACTCGTTTTCGGGTCAAAGGATAAACATTAAACTTGAGTCTAACGACTGTTTTCACAAGACAAAATACCTTTGACTGCCCGCTAACCAATTATTTTATATTTAATCTCGCTTGTTGCCACTTTTTGAATTAAAATAACTCAAATTTCCTTCCCCATTTCTATAAATTCCGCACACACACACAATATAAATTGCCGCATTTCGAATACCATCCTTTAATATTCTTTTAACGGTCCGAAAAACCGCCCCCGGAATATCTCAGTTCAATAAAGCAAACATTCCATCTTCTTCATTTCTCCTACTACTTGACAAATGTCCGTTCTTATAAATATTCCTCCCTCACCTGTTACGCTTCCTCCAGGGGGTGAGATCAATTATGTTACGAAAGGGCTTCTCGTGCTTTCGCTCTGCATGTGTTTGCTATTGATTCCGGCTAATGGGAGAAACCTAACGACGAAATTCGACCGGAGGTGGTCTTTACGAGCGCGCCGCCACCGGGGGCACAACAGATAAAAGCATTGTTTACGCATTTAAGGCTAAACCGACCGAGATAAAGGATTTCGGACAAGAGTTATAGCGGAACTGGGGCAATTCTTCCACTAGTGAAAGAAATATCGCACACTTAGTATCCATATTAATATTATACTATAGAAGTCACCCCACTTTTCTGGAAATTTTATTCAAAAGCTTCCATTATAAATTTGGAAAACCTTCTTCCATTAAAATTTTAATGACATGCACTTGCCTTAAATATGTCAGTTGAAGCCTCCAGCTCTCGCTAATTAAACGCTCGTTGAGGGTTTTCGATTTTGTTGCGGTACGTTGAGTTACGTGCCAAGTTTTGTGGTCGTGGTTGCAAATAGGGGCGACATTTATCGGGAAATTCACGCACGTTTGACACCACCAAGAATTAATTGAGTTGAATTTGATGTCTGTGTCTCCAAATGCGAAAAACGGGGAGATGTTGCAGAGCAGTGGAGGAGTAAATGAACTCAGTTCGTTTTATTGCAGTGTTTGTTGTCAAAAAGCTGTAATTTGATGCGAATTTTTCGGAGAATAAAACAGCGAAGGAAATGTCACACCGAGACGACTCCTTATGAGGAAAATGAGGAGACATTGCATCAGGGCGGTAAAATTATACAACTCGAGGGTGGAAAGTCATTTGCTTCAAATTGGGCGAAATTGCGTTTCTTCCACCGGATTTTTCGGAAAAATTATACAACAAAAATAAAATATGAACTGTCATAGTTGTTAATTAAGAATCTGATTACTGTAGAGAATTCTCATTACGGTTTTATTTATCTAGTCCTTTGAATCTGCAATATCGCCATCTTCAAACGTTGTTTCCGTTCACAATCCGCACTCCGCCCTCTAATTACAGTAATGAGTCGCTCGACAACTCGGGCTAAGGTGGTAAGAGAATCCTATCGACTCGAGGCAAACACACATAAAAAACGCAAAAAATCTTTTAATTCCGTTTCCACTCCTTTTGTACGGTTGACACGTAATTTAGTTCGTCGTTCCAGCTGCAAGGAATAGAAAATTTTTCGAAAAATAATTGTTTATCATTTTGACGCGTATCGACTTTCTTGAAAAAACGTGTAAATCACGTACACGCCATTTGCATAAATTGAGACGGAAGCGACCGGAAAGTCATCTATGAGCCAATTTCCGGACTGTGGATGTCATTACGGATCGACAACGGATCAAATACAAATGCAAAAAACCGGAGGTTCAACAATATAGGGAGGGAAAAATCGCAGTTTTTATCGCGAGTCAGAGATTAGGACAAAGGCGAGGAAGTTATGTGCTCGCTAAACTTTCAAGCGATTTTCCTAAACGAGATGTATTGTATTGTTTCTCAAAAGAGAAACTTCAGAGAATTCTTTTATTTTAGTTTGGCTTGTTTAACGACGGTGAAATACTTTTGATTTTCTTTATTACATAATGAATTAAATCCAGGATGTTTGTATAAAAATGCCAACTTTTCTGAGAAAAAGTCTTCAAACAATAGTAACCGACGTTTTCTCGTTAACAACAAGACGGTTTTAAAAGTCCGTAACAAGAAAAAAAAAATAGAAAATATCTGACTACTATAAAATAAAAAAAAAAAAACATTTCATCTATTTGAAAACTATTTCATATTGTACGATGTAAAAATTATATACATACTTTTTGTCTATGATAAACTATTTTGACATGTCTGTACTACAATCCGATTTAAATAAGTTGCAAGACTAGTGTGCAAATAACAAAATGTTCTTAAAAATGTCGAAAAGTGTCAGTGGAATCCCTCCGATTTAAAATTCATTTAAAATCCAAATTGTTGTTTAATTATTGCAAAATTATCACTAGATGGGTCTTAAAATGCATTTGATTTGCATTTAGACTTCTTTTCTAAAAAATGAATGACAAACAAGGCGAGTGTTTTCATCAAAATCTGAAAGGTTTTTGGGATGAAAATATATTAGGAAGTTATTGTTGCTGTAACTGATCCAAAAAAATATTTAAAAAAAAAACAAAGTAAAGTAAGTGATTTTTAATTTGTTGTTTTGTATTTTTGCTAATTAAACGTGACGTGGCAGTTTTTATTATTTTTTTTTGAACTTAGTACCTCAAAATCTATGAGAAATTACAATTTTCGGCTAAGGTAACTTAACAGAATTCTTAAAGTTTGTCCAAAAAAGTGTAAAAGAAGTAGTCATATAAAGAGTACCATTTTAAGATTTGGACGCTATTTTTAATGCAGATTTGCTAAATGTTCTCTCCTTTTTAGCGAGAAATTGAGCAGAATACAAAATAATTGTGACGGACAAAAAGCAGTTAAATTAGGGTGTCTGGATTTCTGGATGCACCCCATTTGAGGAGGGGATTAAAAAATTGTCAATTTTAAAACTAAAGCTGATTTAAAATAAATTAGTTAAAATTTGTAGACAGTTTTTATAATACTCTACACATAACAACTATTTTTATATACCTACATACTTAAACACATTCTATTTTCTAAAAATATTGCTAATTGATTAAAGAAAAAAATGCTTCAACGTTTTTTGCAATAGTTTTAATAAAACTTTTTCTCGTCTGAAGCAAAAATGCAACATTTATTCAAACTGATTTATGTTTGAAATGAGGTTTCATTCATTTGCTACTATTGTTTATTCTTCAATCTATTGTTTTTTCGTTAAATTAAACCACATTCAGCACTAAAACTTTCGTTTACAACTTCCTGCGTTTCTCCACTTTGATAAAACCCCTAATTGCAGTTCGAAATCCAGCAATGCGCCTTCTTAACGAGCGCTTAATTACGCCTGAGAGGGTCAACGGACTAAGGTGGTAACGCACAAAGCGCCTAATTAGCTTAGTTAGAGTTGCAAAGTGTATACAACCGTCCTTTTAAAAACGCATCACAATAGAGAAATTACCTGTTGGCCGTGAGTGTACTCCACGCCTGCCACCAGGCAAGTCGCCGCCGAACTCAGCCTTTCCAAGCCATGAGTGGTGAAGTCGTCGAGGATGGCACCATCTTCGGCCTCGTCGTCGCCGATGCTGTTTAAACTGACATCGACGGGATTTAATGCACTCAGCGGCACTGCAAATGAAGATCGACGTTAATTCATTGACGGATTTATTGATTCAGGCAGGAAAAGTCGAGCAATTAATGCCAGTGACAGTGGGATCAAATTTAGTGCAGGTTATGTTGGAAAAATTTTGCAGGAACTTTTATTTTTAACGTTAGGTACTCCACTTTTTTACTTTAATTTGAAATAATCAAATATACATTAACTTTTGAAACATTAAATAATTAAATGTTTTGTTTAATTAAACAAAATCTGTGTGTTTGTCAATATTTATCAATCCATAATCCGCCCTAAAGCCCACATCCGAACCCCGAAATTCAAATTCATCGCCGATAAAACGATACAATAACTTTTCCATGAAATTCCAATTCTTCTCGAATCTCTTAAAATCACGTGACCGCCATTCTATCACGCCCTAGCCTTTTTATCCTTACTTCTGAAGAGCTTCACGATTTATCCTCGTCGAAACGGTTGTTTTACCAAATCCCAAGTCCAGTGACATGTCTTTAAACAACGTTGATTTGACACACGATTAGCATTGTGTAAATCCCGACTAATTGTTTTGAATTTTGCAAGTTTGCCAACCGTCGGCGTTTCTTGTCGCTTTAGACGTATAAATCCAACTTACATATAAACCAGGAGATAAACTTTTGTACAAGTTTGGCTCGAGGAAGTGCATTCCGTTGGACGAACGCCAGACTTTTTGCGTGGTTTGTGCTTTTGATTAACAATGCTGCGGTTTAGATTAAAGGGATATTTTCTTAGAGTAATCTGTTATTTTACACGAGCTGCAAAATGTAATGGAATTGTAATTGATGAATTTCGCTTATCAATTTATCAAGACATGTAATCTGACACCAGCGATTTATCACAAACCAACGCAAAATAATATTTTTGGTTTTTACCAAATTTAGCTTTCAATCATAATGAGCAAATAAACATTTCTCATTTAAATGAAATTATTCTCCCGGTGCATCCACCATTTTTGCTTACAGACAAAATCTTTTTGAAGTGTACTACAATGCTAAGAAACTTTTAAGAGTTTAAAAGGCATGTCCAAATTAAAGTACTATAAGAGATTTACCAAATGTAACGGGTAACTGTAAATGATTGTGATTTTTTACCTCAAGTTGGTGTCAAATTTAAAATTTTAGTTTGGTAACTTTGAGTTTCAACTTCAAACGTCAAACTTTTATAAGCAATTGTCATGTCTTGCTCCCAAGCTCTCTAGAATTTCATCTGACATCTGCGACTGTTATGACATTGGTTACAACATAGATATGTTAATAGCTATTAAGGTTTATTTGTGAACTTGTGTAATAATAACTGTTAAATTTTTTTTATTATTTACGATGTAACATAAATCTTTAGGCTAAACCCTCATCACCAAAAACCACGCTGTAGATAATGCAGGAAAGTAATTTATGGCCATTAAATGTGAAGAAAAGAAGAATGAATTGCCAAAGTTTTTATTGTTTGCTAGAGGTTGAAGATTATTAAAACAACATTAAAATAGTTTCTATAAATCAAATGTATTTTAAACTCATAAACTTACAATTTTTTAAGCAACTGAATCATGAAGTTATAATATTTTGATAAACCATCAATTTAGTCTTGCACTTTGTACACTTTGCTTTGATACATAATACCTACAAACGATTATTATATTTATAATTAGAGCAAACTAATTAACAAGTTAAGTTAAAATTAACAAGAAAACTTTAGTGATAAAAGCAGGAAACATTCTGTAATAAAAATAATAACGAGGAAAATTGATCTTTACAATACATTTCACATAATATAGAAAAACTTAGAAACAGTTTCCAGTTTATAAACAAAGTTTTAGTTGGTTTTTATTGTAGTAAATAATAAATCATTCCGGAACAAAGTTTTCAAAATATTCATCAAGTTTTTCATTGTTTTGAAACCTGCGCAACATTTCATTTCTTCCGATACTCTTAATTATTAACGGTTTTTTACGTTTTCTTGGAAAAAATAACCGGTCGTAAGACCTTTTCCGCTTAAAACAGACAAGATTTTACAAGCAACAAATTAGAGAATTAATTAAAAAGTTGGCGCACTTTTCTTCCACTTGGCTTGCATATTAAACAAGGAAACTTCCACCCAATGAAACCCATTAATAATAAAAACGCTCGCTGTGATTTGTTTTCCTTCAAGAACTTCATTCCATATCCTCATGTCGCAAATTCCTGCATTCTGCCGAGGTCTCCGAACCGGAAAAATCGATCCCCATGTTGGCAAACCTGCAATTCGTACGTTTAAAATTTCGCGCGAGAATATGACTGGGCCGTCAAAATGAAGGTTTAGGTCCCGTCAAAATTTCCGTCTAAATGTAAAGTGCGACCGGAAAATGCAATCTCGTCAAAACTCCAGTTCCGGGTTGTTGATGGTCGGCCCGAATTTCCGGGTCGGGAAGAAAATCGGAAGTGGAAACTTTGGGGAACTAAGACTTGGAAAAAATCTTTATAACAATGAACATGTCGCGATTAAACTTGAACCGATTAAGACTAAAGCACCGCAGCTGCATTTGGAGTATCGGTTTTATAAAATTTTGGGACAGCATGAGGGGATCCCCAAGGTGTATCATTTAGGGACTTGTGGAGGAAGGTATAATGCGATGGTGATGGAGCTTCTAGGACCCAGTTTGGAAGATTTGTTCACTTTGTGTAATAGGAGATTTCGGCTAAAGACGGTTTTGATGATTGCCGACCAGTTGTTGACGAGGATTGAGTACGTGCACAGCAAAAGGTTGATTTTTAGGGACATCAAACCGGAGAATTTTCTTCTAGGAAGAACCAAGACAAAGAAAGAGAAGGTTATTCACATTATTGACTTTGGATTGGCTAAGGAATACATGGATGAGTCTACAAATCGACACATTCCCTACAGGTTAGTGAAAAAATTGTATACATTTTTTCCGATTTTTGATTTAGGGAACACAAATCTTTGACTGGAACCGCCCGCTATATGAGCATTAACACCCATATGGGGCGAGAGCAATCCCGCAGGGACGATTTGGAAGCCATGGGTCACATGTTTATGTACTTCTTGCGTGGTTCTTTACCCTGGCAAGGTCTCAAAGCCGATACATTAAAAGAAAGGTATCAAAAAATTGGCGAGACAAAACGAACCACTCCTGTTGAGACTCTTTGTGAGGGGCACCCGGAAGAAATGGCTACATATTTACGCTACGTTCGCCGATTAGACTTTTTTGAGACACCTGATTATGAATATCTCCGCCGACTATTTAAGGATTTGTACAAAGAAAAGGGTTATGCCGATGATGGAGTTTTCGACTGGTCAGGTAAAATTCTTGGCTTTAGTTAGATTTTCTCACTGTCTTCTCACTCCTCCAACAGACCGATTAATTTGGTTGAGTGGCCGTGAAAGGAAGTTCAGTGATACAAAGTATTATTTCAGCAAGCATATTACACCCAGCGCTCAGAGCGATGTAAGTAAAGCAAGTATCAATTTTTGCAGTCTTGCAAAAATATGCTTGCTGGAATTATCCCAATTCTGTCAACGCTACAAAGTTGTGTCTAACCTTCGGCTTTTGCAGGGCTGACACCGCCATCGGCGACTGCGCTCGTCAAAGACTAAAGCATATCCGCATTTTGTAACAGTTTTATTAAAGTAAACGACCTAAGAACAAGACCGTATTTTATTTCTCCTCTCTTAAAACATAAAAATTATACTAGTTTACTTTAGCTGAAAGTTATAATTTCTCATAGATTTTGAGGCATTGAATTTAAAAAAATATATTTAAAAAATCCGACACGTCACGTTTAAGAAATATGTAGTTAATAAAAAGACAAGAATCGACAAACAACAAATTAAAAATGAATTATTGTACTTTGTTTTTTATACTTTTTTGGATCAGTTTCCCTTGTAACAGTAATCACATAACATATTTATTTTTATCTCAAAAATATTTGTATCGATCTTCAAAAACTTATAGACCTCGAGGAAAATGCTCGCCTAGTTCTTTACTCATACTGCCTAAGTTTCTTTAAGAAAAAACTCTATATGCGAATCAAGGATACGGAAATAGTTATTTTTTGTATACGCTCCCAAAACAGCTGTTTTAGGAACTCATTTGAGTCCCTAAAATGAGTCTTTTCCGGACTCAATAAAATAGTACGCAAAACGGTTATTTTAGGTACTCCCCAAAAATAAATAGTCTATGCGGACTAAACAATATATTTTTTTAATTAGTAAGAGGTGTGAATTCGTGTTTTGGGAGCTTTAAGAAAAAAATGTTGGATGCACCACGTACGCAAAAGGTTTTAGGTGACTCCTCTCATTAAAGACTCGGCTCCTACGTCGCCTTAATTACGATTTGTCCCCTAAAACCCTATTTTGTGTATGTGTGTACATGATACATAAATAGCTATTTTGTTACAAGTACTTAAAATACAGTTTTTGCAGACGAATCGTTGCTGTTTCCGGACGAAGTGAAGCCGAGTCTGGTATAGCATATTAGTCCGCAAAAACGTGTTACAAACAACATTTTTTTGTTAAAGTTTTCAAAAAACGAATTTACACCTCACTCAAATAAGTCTCTAAAATAGCGATTTTTATACGCGTATACAAAAAATGTATTTTAAAAGACATACAATACCAAATGAACTTTATTTAAATCGGAGACAAGAAAATTATCTTTCATAGCAAAAAGCTGTGACGTGATAAAAAAATCTTAATGTTATTTTTGTTTAATAGAACATAAATAATCATAAATAATAATAATTTTATTAAAAGTAGGTATACAGGGTGTGTCAGAACTCGCACCCCAGAGAAAAATTTCAAGTAAGATAAAATACTAGAACCATGAAAAAAATGTTTAAAAATTCTATTTGTGAAAAAATTTTAACATTAATTTTTTGACATTTGAAATTTTTTATTTCTATTTAATAATACTGATAATCTTGTATATGTTTTTTTATAATCATTTAGTAAAGGTACAAACAATTTGCCAATAAAAGCCACAAATAACATTAAACAGAGTTACGATTTAGGATACACCTTCCTTATTTCCTCTTCTAATAACCTATAGCAAAAAAACTTGGAAAATTATTTTTCCAACAGAAATAAACAGAGTCAAAGTGCAAAAATCATGACTTTGAAATTTTTATAGATAGAATTTTTTTGACAATTTTTTCATGTTCCTTACATGGCATTTATCTCTGGGGTGTGAGTTCTGTCGTTAATATTAGATAAGTGATTATTTGTGAACTAGTGTCATTGCTTTTTATAACCACTGAAGGCACTGTTTTTAACCAGTTTCCAGAAAGTTTATCTCTGTGGTCGCATCTTACATTTTTCAGATGTATTTTTTAATAATATAAAATTAACTACTTAAACATGACAGTTTCTCTAGAATTGAAAAATATTAAATAAACAAAGTTGAGCTTCGCTTACTTTTGTCTGCGTCTTAAATTATTTTTATTTATTATTACCAGTGATGTTGCTACATGTTTCTTAAAAGTCACAGTCATTTACAGACACCGAGTATTTTTTTTTAATAAGTTACTCAAACTTCCTCTGCTCTATAAATACAATAATGTATCACAAAGCTGTTTTAGGCCACTTTGTAGAAAATTCAAATAAAAGTGCTAAACATTTTTTTGGCACATATATTAAAGTTAAAAGCTTGATTTTTTTTTTAAATTATATATAAAAATTTTGCTAAAAGCACAAAAGTGGTATAATATACGAGTCCTTGTCTTTATAGCTTTTGATTTGCAAAAAATGCGGTCCACCTCTGTGATTTGTGTTATTGCTGATATTATGATATCTGACTGTGATGGCAGCACCACCCGCTACCGACACAGATTTATACTTGCGTCCCACATTTCCCGTCCACTTTTCCAGATGACGTTACGGATTTATGGGTGCACGCAACAATATTGTTTATGTATTAGATAGAGGAAGATGTGCTATACAGCCGATGGGCAATTAGTGCAAACCCGGCAATAAATAACCGACGAAACGTTCTCTCCTCATATTTCGTTAATTTATTCGGCTGTGAACAAAGCGGTATCAATCAGCCCCCGGCAGAATGTCACCAACTCATGACGTCACTTCTAAACTCACTGTTCAATTGAAATATTTAAACAATGCGCTGTTGACACGGGGAAACACCGGCGAGAATTAGCGATGATGTTTTAGTTTGGTAAAGTTCGCTCTCCAGACTTTGTAATGAATAATGCGCGTCAGCGTATTCGATCTAATTTAATTGTTTGTCTTGCCGGCAAGTCGTCGAAAATCGAATTGAAAAAACATCCACAACTTTGTTAACTCGACCCGAGTAAACGTTTAACTTAGGGACTTTAGTTTTTGCAATGTGATGGATGCGAGGAATTCGCCTGGGTCTCGGAGCTACGCTGAAACGTCACCTGATGATTACACAGAAATGGGAAGAAAAACATAATTATTGCCGCCCGCTAACATTTATTTTTCTTTGCATGCGATTGCATCCCTTTTATCTCCTGTGTAATCAGCTAAATGTACCAACTATAAATTCAAAACAAACACTTTTTAACAGCTGATTCGACTATTAATTCGCCAGAGATACAATTTATTACACACGTTTTTATCGCCCATCCAACTAAAAGCTTAAAAGCAAAAAACAAAAATTTCTTTTCTACCATAAACCATCATTAAGATTGTGTTCAAAATAAATTTTTGTGCCTTTTATAAGCAATTTTATTTTTTTATTTTAAAATAAAAAGTGTTTCTAAACACAATTACTTGTTTGTATAAGGTTATTTTGAACTCGTTGCATGTTGTGACAACTAAACATTTCAAATATATGTAAAAATATCTTTCAATTTTGCATTTCAAAAGTTTAGACTCTAATATATTGTCAGAATTTTTATCATGTCACTTAGTTGTAACGGAAGAACTTTATTAGAAATTCACAAAACTTGAAACGTATTAAGATTCTAAGTTGCAACGCGAGAAGCATTTCTTTTAATCTAAAAGTTAAGACTGCATTGGGAAACGCTGCAATTTAATGGAAATCAAATTTCTCTCATTTGAATTCAAAAAAACTCGTTTGCTAATGACGAATGCAAAACTCCCGTAAATCAATTTTACCAAAATTTGTATTTTTCTGTCGTTTTAATTGTATAAAACTTGTTTAGTTGCTCTATTTTTCTCGTGTTTAATTGCGTCCAATTACATCAAACAGACTGCCTATGCATAGATTTGTTGAGGTACTCGTGTTATGAATGCTTTGACTTTGATGTATAATTTTTGGGTCGTCGGCCCAAAGTCCGCTTTAATTAAGAGGCGGGGGAAGGTATAGTTAATCGAATTTAATGGTAATAGGAGAGTCTACAATAACAATCTAAGCCGTTTCTGCTTTATCTACAAGTGACACGCTCGGGATTGTGATAGATTTTATATAGGGATGAAAACTAGCTTTGTTCTTGCTGAGGTTACTTTCCTAAAACTGGAAACGAAGCACAGAGAAATTGTGATGTTGTTATGAAGAAAAAACAAGTATCTTGTTACATGACATAATTATTTAACGTTCATGTTTCAAACGTTATTAATTATTGATCTACATATGCTCGATATTTATTTTGATATGTAATAGACTTCAAAAATTCATTTTTATTAATTTGGACCGACAACGACAAGCGATTTTTGCTTTTTTCTGTATCTTTAACAAGACATCAAACACTTCAACATAATAATTTACTTGTCATGATTTTTTTATAAAAATGTCAGATAACTTTGAGCTTTAATATACATAATCATTATAAAACAAAAATAGTACATTTTGTTTTAAAAAGTACTATATTACGGGAATAAAAAAATAATAATAAAAAAAACATTACAAATGCAAACACTATCTTAAGATTTTTTACAAACAGGTTCTTTAGATATTCAAAAATTACGATTCTGCTTAACAGAAAAATATTTTTGGACTTATTAGCTTATGAGTCGTCAATTTTAAACAATTTCAGGGTAATTTTACAGCTATTGAGACAACTAGAGTTTTTTAAACTATAAAACTTGTGTTGTTTTCAAGATTTTTTGCAACACTAATATTGAATTAGAAATTTTACTAAATTCAAAAATTATTATATTATTATAATTGGATGGCAAGCGAATAAATTAAAAAAAAAATAAAAACTAAAAAGTAAGTTTTTTTTAAATGATACATTTCGTATGATAATAGCACTGTTTTGACATTTTTGGCGAAATGATTTAACAAAGCTACGAGTTGTAAAATGCTTATTACACTATTATGTTTTGTATAATATGTATACAGAGTGATTTTGAAGTATGTGCAATTATTTTAACAAGCGATAGTAGAGATTAAAAAAAGTCAAAATAATTTAATTTGTCTTATTCGAATGTTTATAGTTTCTTAGATGTAGAGGGTGAAACCTTCACATCGGCGTCGGAAAATATCAAAATAATGCAACATAAACAAATTTTGAACCATTTGCGTTCTTTATCTCAAAGTTTAGATTTCTAGTAATCGGTAACATTTGAGGTAATGAAATTGGGTGATATCTTAACTAAAATTTGTACGTTTTATATTTTTTTTTAGATGAGGACACTTTTTTGTGCCTGCTTTTGCTAATTTTTACTATTTTTTTTTAAACAATGTTACAGATTTTGAATAATTATTAA